CTACGATGTTGGAGACATTGGGTTCTCCCGTAGACGGTATCGGAGACTTCTTTATCGGCACCGGTACAGTCGGTACAGGAATATGAGGGTCATCGATAATATTACCAGCTTCTGATATAGCGGGAAGATTAACAAGACCATGTTGGTTATCAATGACAGACCCTTCGACAATAGTGGAGTTAAGGTCCCCAGATAAGTTCAAGTGAATCAATCTATCCACATTGACTCGAGTACCGGTAGTAGGAGGTCCATGAGGAACACTTTTGAGAAGTACGGTATTGTTGCAAGGATCACTTACAATATAAGGACCGCGCCACTTCAAACTCAGCTTCGATCGTCGTGGCGGAGCCCGTAGGCCAACAAAATCCCCCTCAACGAAGTCCGGTACGGATCGGTTTTTATCATACTTGTTCTTCGCCTTCAAGCGAGCATCTAGGAGGGCAAGACGGACACATACGTGGGCAGTCTTCATAGATTCCACCATATCAACTGCCATAGAATCTATCTCCAGATCTGAAGGCTCGCATGAAGAATCACTGCCACTCTTCAACAAGAGGTCAGGCAGAGTGGGTGGATTCCGACCACCATGAGTAATAAAATACGGCGAAAATAACCGGCCATTACCAGGATTCGTGTTATGAGCGAATGTAACCGGCTGCAAGAAGTGTGGCCATCGATCCTCACGACCGCTGCAGAGTATGGCAAGAGCATCCATCGGGAATCTATGAGCACGCTCACACTGGCCATTGAACTGCGCTCTCAGCGACGAAGTTCGCTGAACCTCAACATTTCCGAACTTATACAATTCATCAAGTAGGGAATTACAAAATTCCTTCCCACGATCTGAACGAATCGTACCAAAGTAACCATGATGGCAGATAACCTCATTGAATAGACATTTTGCTACGTCCATCATACTCTTAGATCGAAGCGGACGAGTAATAACATAATTGGAGAATAGACAGACCGCGTGGAAGATGAAATGATACGGATGCCCCTCAACGTCACTTTCACCTGGCGGCATTTCGATCAAGTCGACGCCAATAGCGGAGAACGGCTTAGTATAGATGGACGTTCTGAGTCGACCGACCAGTGGATCATGAGAGCTCTTCCTCAACTGACAGCCTAAACAGTGCTTACAGAAACTCTTCACACTTTTTGCCATATTAGACCACCAGAATGAGCGACCAACACTCGAAAGCGTGGCTTCGCGTCCTCGATGGGCACTATCAGGTTGGATGTGGAAGTAACGAAGAAATGTTAGTTGGTATTCACTAGGTATTACCAACTTCTCCACATCTTCCGGTATATCCCAGGCATCAGGATATGGAGCAACCATTAGTAAAGCACCATCGATGCGGTCTAATTTATAGAGGCTATCATCTCCACCTTGCGGTAGATTTTGAATGATCTGGCTGATAATAAGATCACGACGCTGGCTCTCAACGATCTCATGTCGGCTTGGCAAACAAAGTGGAGGCTTTTCCTGGGAGTTGATAGCGACATTAACACAAGTATACAGATCAGACGATGATGATAC